ATCCAAAATTTATAAAGAACTTATAAAACTCAATACCAAAAAAAAATCCAATTAAAAAAATGGGCAATGAACCTGAATAGACACTTCTCCAAAGAGGACATACAGATGGCCAATAAACATCTGAAAGGATGCTCAATGTCATTCATCATCAGAGAAATGCAAATTAAAACCACTGTGAGATATCACCTCACACCTGTCAGAGTGGCTATCATCAATAAATAAACAAATAACAAGTGCCGTCAAGTATGTAGAGAAAGGGAAACCTTTTTGCATTGTTTGTGGGAATGCAGGTTGGTGCAGCCACTGTGGAAAGCAGTATGGAGTTACCTCAAAAAATTAAAAATGGAACTGCCTTATGACCCAGCAATTCCATTTCTGGGAATTTATCTGAAGAAACCCAAAACACTAATTTGAAAGAATATAAGCACCCCTATCTTCACTGCAGCATTATTTAAAATAGCCAAGATCTGGAAGCAGCCCAAAGTCCATCAGTAGAAGAGTAGATAAAACAGTTACGGTACACTTGTACAATGTAATACTACTGAGCCGCAAAAAACAAGAAAATTTTACCCTTTGTTACAGCATGGATGGACCTAATGAACTTATGCTAAGTGAAATAAGCCAGACAGAGAAAGACAAATAGCGTATAATTTCACTCATATGTGGAATCTAATGAACAAACTGAACCAACAAGCAAAACAGAGACAGATGCATAGATAGAGAGCAGGCTAACAACTTTGCGGGGCGGGTGGCGAGTGGAGGGATGGAGCAAAAAGGAAAAGGATTCATGGACATGGACAACAGTGTGGGGGAGGGGGATGGGTGGAGGTGGAAAAAGGTATAAAGGGGATAAATGGTAAAGGGAAAATACAATAAAAAATAAAATAAAATATCCATTTAAAGATTAAAGAAAGTCTGGGGAATGTCCAGTGGAATGAATGTGCAGCCCCCCAAATTCATTCGTCAAATCCTAATGTCCTATGTGATGGTTTTTGGAAATGGGACCTTTGGGAGGTGATTTGGTTATGAGAATGGAGTCCTCATGAAGGGTATTAGTGCTCTTATAAAAGAAACTCAAGAGAAGTACTTTGCCTCTTCTGCCTTGTGAGGACATTGAGAAGACCTCCAGCCATCTGCAACCAGAAAGAGAGCTCTCATCAGTCACTAAATCTATCAGCAACTTGATCTTGGACTTCCCAGTCCTCAGCACTGTAGGAGCTAAATTTTTGTTATTCATGAGCCCCTATTTTCTGGTATTTTTGTTGTAGCAGCCTGAATGGACTAAGAATGTTTCAGATTAAAAGATGTTAAACAGACATGACAACAAAAAGAAATACCTGATCCAAGCGGACCCTGTATTAGAGGGGAAATGCTCCAAAGGACATTATTAGGTTAACTAACAAAAATGAAATATAATGTACCAATGGAAATCATGAAGTTAGTAAATGTGCCACAGTTACTAGGAATATTCTTATTCAGCAGGATATTAAGAAGCAGGCTCTCCAGAAAGAAAAGCCCACATTTGTAGCTTTTGCACATTTCTGTGGTTTAAGTAACTCCCACCATAGCCAATTTCAAGCTATCAAAGGTTTACCATGAAGCTAGCAAAATTCCCAAACAATTAACAATCAACTCTGGTGCATGTGCAACCACTGGGAGGTTGTATAAGCCTGTTTTTAAGAAATGCACACTGCCCTCTTTAGAGGTGGAGCGCCATGATACATGTAACTTACCCTTAGACATTCAGAAAATAACTGTAGACATATTCATGTCCAGAGGCACACACATACAAACAGTGAGCAAGTATGCATGCACTAAAAGAGCAAAGAAGGTAAAATGGAAACAATAAGTGAATCTGGGCAAAGAGTATCCAGGTGTTCCCTGCATTACTGTTACTTTTGTAACTATGTACTAGATATTATGTTCAAATAAAAAGATTTTTTAATGCTCTAAATGTTAGTTTGAAATAGTAAAAAATATTTAAAAAATAGAGGGAAAATTTCGAAATAAATAGATTAGCACAAAAATGTAAAATATTTCTTATGTTTCAGAAAGTAAAAGTTCAAGAACCAAAAATGAAATGAGTAGCAGTTATTTAAGCAGTAGAGTCATGTGAAAGAAATATGGGGTTTATACTTGTTTGAAAAATCCAGTGCACTAAAGCAGTGATTTTCAACTGGTGTGCCACAAGAATTTTTAAAACATGAAATACCTATTTATTTTTTTATTTCTATTTAAAAATTTTTTAAAAAGACTTTATCTATATATTTTTAGACAGAGAGGAAGGGAGGGAGAAAGATAGGGAGAGAAACATCATTGTGTGGTTGCCTCTCATGCACCCTCTACTGGGGACCTGGCCTGCAACCCGGGCATGTGCCCTTAGTGAGAATCAAACCAGCAACCCTTTGGTTCGCAGGCTAGCACTCAACCCACTGAGCCACACCAGCCAGGGCAAATACCTGACTCTTTAGTCAGGGGCACTGACTCCTCCTTTTCCCTTACACTGTCAAATAAATGAAAAATGATAACAGGCAACAGAACAATAGGCATCCAGTGCGAATCAATTAGCATTACACCTATTTTTTGTCAGATTGGCAAAAAATATATTTTTCCATGAGCCACAGAATTTCAGTAATAAGTTTATGTGTGCCATGGATGAAAATGGTTTAAATCACAGCTATAAAGTAACATGTGAATTAATGATTAGTTAATAGGTTTTAAGTCTGCAACAAGCTTAAAGAAAGAGAGAAAACACAGCAGAGTTGTGTGGCATATCCCACCTGTATGACAGCCCCACCACCCTGACCACCCTCCACCACAGCCATCTGGTCCAGGAGGAGAGTGACACAGCTGACCACACACAGGACTTTCAAAGGGCACCAGGATTCAGGGTTTGTAGAGGAGAGAACACAGGGCAGGAAACAGCAGGTCATGTCATACTCCACAACAGCATAGGATCAGCTTTATCCTCTGGTGTTGCCAAAACAACATGCAAAGCAAAGATCAGTTCTTATTTTAATTTGGAGGAAAACCATTAAGAAGTGAATTGATAATAGACCCTTAATATCTAACAATAATGTTTTTTCTGTTGGGATCTTCGATCACTTTATGTGAATAACGAGGTCAGCACCACTGACATTGTTCACCATCTCTACCTTGCTCTGCTCTGTGGTGTCTCCAATTAAATGGATCAACAATGGTAGATTGTTGTTCTGGCCCAGAAAACCTAAATACTCAACAACAGAATACACGATGATGCCTTATGTGCTGCCTAGAAACGCAGAGGGGCCTTCAGAATTGGTGCTGAGCTAATGACTTTGGCCAGCCCACGTGGGGCAAAACACAGGTGCTGAGCAGGCAAGTCCTATTCCACCTCCTAGCAGAGCATAAGGCTTGGAGGACCCTGTCATCCAAATGCAGGCCCAGATAAAAGGCTTTACCTGCTGTGCTCAGAGAAGGGTGCTCCTGCCGTGATAGGATAGTAAAAAGCTAGGACAATTCCTGGGCAAGTGGAATGGGGAAATTGAGACAAGAAAATGAAACAATTTAAACAACTTATAGACCGCTAGTGAATCCACAAGACCTTATCTTCCCTAACTAAGGACACTTGATAGCAAATGGTTCTTAACTTTCCTCCTTAATGAGTGAATTCATAGCTTAAATCTCCCTGGTCTGGGAAATAGAAAGCAGAGACCCAATTAATGCCACTTGTGCCAGCTAAACCCAAGGACAGATGAAGTCGGGGGAAGAGATAACAAAACCCCCATTAAAGCCAGACAGATGCAAGGTAAAAATAAAATAAAGCAGACCAACCCTGGCTGGTGTGGCTCAGTGGACTGAGCACCAGCCTGCGAACCAGAGGTGTGCCGGTTCAATTCCCAGTTAGGGTACTTGCCTGGGTTGCCAGCCAGGCCCCCAGTGAGGGGTGCACGAGAGGCAACTACACATTGATGTTTCTCTTCCTGTCTTTTCCTTCCCTTCCCCTTTCTCTAAAAATAAATAAATAAAATCTTACAAAAAAGAAGACCAAAGAATAATCCCGAGCTCCCCTATACACTCATTTTGATGATCCAGAATATTAAAAACACACCTAGAAAGTTAATGAATATTCTGCTGAAACCCTCCCCTAAGATTCTCACCTGCAAAAGAGAGATAAAAACCCCCAAGAAAAAGACTGGGTGTGGACTCACTCTAGAGCATACTCCACACACTTTCTTGGGCATAAACTTTTTATTTCCTCTAAGGTTCCCATGAGACTGGCAAACAGGGGAGCTATGAGCAGCAGCAGCTCATCCTGGGCTTACTCCCTGATCCTATCTCTAAGGTGCTGTTTTCCTCTGGCTTCCCAAGTAAGCTATAAGCAGTCCAGTCTTGACTCACTTCTTTCCTGCAATGTTTTGAGGGAGCCGAAGCAGAGCACCACCTAGGCTCTCTCATGTTTCTTCTATCCTGTGGTTTTCCTTTAATTCACTGTCCCCAACTTTTAATAAATGTCCTCTCAAAACCACCTGGACTTGTATTGTGAAATCTTTCCTATTCAAAGTCAAGAATCCATACACTACAGGCTGGCCTGAGGCAGATGTGATCCCAGTCCTTGTCTTATGACAGTGCCACCCCACACTGGACCACCCTTCATGTGGAGGCCAGGAATAGCTCTCCAAGAATGCCAGGCCACTCCTGGGCAGGAGTGGGAGGGATGAAGCCTGCATACCACCACCCCAGTCTGAGCCAGGCAGACCCTGGTGCCTTGCAGGGACAGCCTGTCTCGGTTTCCAGCACCCCATTCTTCACAGGAGTGGCCTGGAGATGGCACTACAGCCTTCTGGAAGAGGAGGTCTCTGGAGGGAGGGCCAGGCTCTTAGAAAGAAGCACCCCTGCTATAAGATGGGCTAGGGGGTATGGGACAGGAGTGTGAAAGGGCCCTGTGACAGCCTGGCCTGGTGCAAGACAAAGAAAACTCTAAAGCTCAGGAAGGTAAAGGGGCTGGGTGAGGCACATACCCTGCACTTGAGCTCGTACTCCTTCAGGACCTCCTTGAACTGCTCCTCCTGGGCCAAGAGTTCTGTGCTCTGTGGCTCCAGCTAAAGGTCACACCAGCAAACGAAAATTAAAGACAGGTCCTTAGGCCAGGTAGAGTGCATGCTGTCACCCCCTCATACTCTTTACACAAGGTTCAGCATCTCCAAGTACAGCCCTCCAGTCCCTTCCTCCTCCTCCACTCCCCTCCCTTTGTTTAAAAGGTCTCAGGGCAGTATTATGTTCCTTCCTTGGCCGCCTGGAACACCCCCTGCCTGGATCCTTCCCCAGAGCAGCAACTTCCCTCTCCACCTCCTCCTCAAGTGATGGACAGGGCCTCCAGGTAGGGGTGGGGACCTAATGGTGGACATCAAACTCTAACCTCTCCTCCATGCCTCTCATCACTGACAACCTGTCGCTGGGGTTGATGCTGCCAGCTGGCCCTTGTCTTGGCATTAAAAGGCCAATGTGCAAGTCATCACTAGGGCATACTGACATCCCTGCCTTGGCCTGAAGGGGAGGAAAACAGAGGGAAAGTCACCTTGCTAATTTTCTCTCCATTCCAGAAGTTTAACAGAAAAAAACTAACTTCAGCCACCTAGGTATTCTTTTTCAAAACCCTGATACTTTTTACCCAGCACTACAGGCTCTTCTCTAAAGACTAAGACTTAGCAAAAGGACTTGCCTTGTCTTTCACCACAAACTCCAGATCGTTCTGCAGTTTCAGGACCAGCTTCTCTGATTTCGAAAGTTTTTCCACAACTTCAATGATCTCCTTCTGTAATCGACTGTTTTCCTACAAGACATAGGTCAGAGGTTTGCCAGGCTTTGAGAGTGGAGGAGGGAGCTGTTGGCAGGTCTGTCTTCTCTTTAAGTGAAAGCTTTATTCCCAGTAGCACTCATAATCAGGGAAGGAACCTCCTGGTTTCTGGTATCTGCCTTGGCACTATGCAGAGAAGGCTGTCCCAGGGGCCAATCCAGAGCAGCCCAGGGATAGACCCCAAGAAGCCCTCACCAATGCTCATTCCTTTTCCCATTGCCTCTACTTCTCCCAATCCAAGTGCTCAGGAGGTCATGAGTATCACAAGAAAAAGCTAGTGGGAAGCTCTTCCAAGCCATTTTCTAAATGAGACTAAACTGCACCGCTACAGCTCAGGTGTCCACAGGGAAACCAGTAAGAAGAGAAGTGAAGACAGCATTGTGGAGAGCCAGGCAGGCAGGGCAGGTAGACCCTGTGCATATTGCTGTCAGACACCCCTAGGGTACCAGGCTTTTCCTCTAGGAGACAGAAACTGAGGGAGGTAGGTAGGTGAGGAAAGAATCCATATGCTCTGAGTTAGGAGAGGAAGAGGAAGGCAGGAGCACAGGAAGGCCCCAGGGATATCTCACTGTACTCAAATGCAGGATGGGTATGGATCTGCAGGGTACTCACCAAAGTCCAGACACCACGTCTGCCCCAGGCTGCACCCGGGGACAGCAGGTGGGCTTTAGGTTTGCTGACCCCTCAGGTGCTCTTGTCTCCAGGGGCATAGCAGAGCTGGCTGCTGACCCTCCCTAACCTTGGTCCACAGAGCACAGAGTAAGAGACCTGTCGGTCTACCACCTGTCCTGCTGCTCCCACAATTGGAAAGCAATGCTGATCCTGAAAGGGTCAGGATCCTTTCTTCTCTGGCTGAGAAGCATGTTATCTCCATGTCTGCAGCAAATATTCCTTAGTTTGAAACCCTAGGGATTTCCCTACCACAGAAATATAAACTTCTTCAGGCTAAGAGAAGGTGTTGAATCCTTGACTAGGAAAAGGTGGGGCGTGAGAAGAGGAACCTTCAGATAACCTCATTTCTGTATTTTCTTCTCTGGGTGGAGTGTCTTGGGGAGGCACCTCTCCCCTCGCCCATTACTCTCCTCTCTCTACCTACCTTCAGGGCCAGGGTCAGCTTCTCTTGGAGGCTGGCCTCCTCAGCCTGCAGGTGCTCCAGATCCTTCTCCAGCGTGGCCCTCTGCCTGCAGGCCTGTTCCCAGAATAGCTCATGCTCTATCTCTACCTCAGACCGCAGGAGACTCAGCCTTTCTCTGTATTCCTGCTCCAGGTGTCTGTAAGGCACACAACAGCATGTCACAATGGGCTTCCAAGGGTGCTGCGCAGGCCCACCTGGATCTGCCTCTCCAGGGATACCTTTTCAGCCAACAAGACCTCTTCCTTCCCTGGAATTCCCCTACATGGAGCACTTGGCCACACTGTCTTGGATTCAACAGTTCTTCCTTGACAGATGGGGTTACTATTCCTCAGCTAAACTGCATGTGATGTCAGGCCAGGGGCCCCCCTTTATATTCTAACCCTGGGGCAGGAAGGTGGGTGGCCCTCCTCAAGGCTGGAACACAATTGTTTAAAAAAAGGAGTTTTCTTGAAAAACACTGAAGGCTGAGGAGCTGGCAGTGCTGCATAGAGAAGAAGGTCATCAGGCTGCTGCAGAGTTAAAAAAAGGCCCTGGTGGACCCCTTGCCTCCCCTGGTTCTCAAAGAGGCAGCCACCTAAGGTCTCAGTAGCACCAATCAAGATGGTTAGAATCGGCCCTATACATGCTCAGGGGAGATCCCAAAGCTTCCAAACATGTGAGGAGGCTGATGACAGCATCTTGTTAAAAGGGCCGTTCAGAGACTGGAGCAGACATCTAGAAAGAGGGGAAAATGTGCTAGCAATTGCACTGTTGGCTTCTTTCAATATTCTTTCAGCTCCTGACTTTTCTTTCTTTCTTTTTTTTTTAAGAGGGCAAGGGAGGGAGAGAAACATCAATTGGTTGCCTCTTGCATGCATTTCAATTGAAAATGGAACCTACAACCTAGACATGTGCTTTGACTGGGAATCACACTGGCGACCTTTCTCTTTGTGGGATGATGCCCAACCTCTTGTTTAAAAGTCCATTTCTTACACTCTCAGGATAAAACAGGTCCAGGCCTATGGTCTCTCAGAAATAGCACAAGATAAAGAGAGAGACACTTGGGATTTAAACTTCAGGCCACACTTGTTGTAATATTATTGACAAGTTAATTGCACTGCTCCAAGGCTCAATCTCTTTAATTGAAAATGAAAATGGAAATAAAATGACCTATTTGTGGTTATGATGATCAGTAAATCAAGGAACATCTGACACACAACAGGAGCTCCATGACACAACAGCAGTTTTATAGGCCAGAAGCTCCTTATAGGGCTGAGACCCATCTGCTCAACCTCCAGACCTCTGGCTGCACAGTGGAGATGCCAGGGTATCTTTGGTGAAAAAGGAATAGGCTCTTTGGTTTAAACCCAATTGTCTAATGGGATACAATCAATTGGCACCATGTGGCTGCCAACACCCCTCCTATCTTCTGTGGCTGCCCTGCAGAGCCTCAGAGCCCCAGGTAAGTCAAGTATACCTACAAGCTCCTTCAATCCTCCCTGCTACCTCTCTTCCCTGTGAAAAATGAGGCAGCAGAGTGAGAGTTTAGTAGCCACGACACATGGCAAAGGCAAGCCTTTTGCAGAATTGTGCTTAAAAGCCACATATAAGGGCCCTGGCTGGTGTAGCTCAGTGGGTTGAGTACTGGCCTGCAAGCCAAAGGGTCACTGGTTAATTCCCAGTTGGGGCACATGCCTTGGTTGTAGGCCACATCACCATTAAGGGGTGCGCAATAGGCAACCACACATTGATGTTCCTCTCTTTCTCCTTTCCCCTCTCTATAAATAAATAAATAAAAATTTTTTTTGACAAGCCACATAATGGGGGCAGGTGAAAGTCCCTCATAGTTCTAACACCCAACCCAGTGTCATCTGGGGGGTTTATATACATCATTCCATAACCCCAACAAATCTCTCCAAGAGCACTGTTGTTAAGAAAAGCAACCCTCCAAGTGTCACAAACACATGCAACAGGGAGAGGCCATGTCCCAGAGCGTCATCATAAGCTCTCTCAGAGACCTGCTCATTGAAACCACCTGTGTCACTTGAGCTGCTGCTTCTCTTTCTCACTCCTCATTTGCTAAGGAAGCTGAGACACAGGCAGAGATAAACAGGGCTCTGTGCTGAGTGTTCTAAGATACTGATGGATATTCCATCACTCCCACTTTACAGGCGAGGAATCTGAGGGGTTCCATCCACCCAAGAAGCAACAGACCCAGAATTCTAAAATTCTTGTAGACCCTCTGTGCCCAGCTCAGGCTGCCCTTCCCACACAGGTGAGAGAGGAGGCAGGGGTGGTTCACAGCCTCTCTGCACCCCACCAGGAGCATGGCTGATTGAGTGTGGGACACTGGTTTTTCCACAGTGTATACCCTTTGCTATTTCTGAGGAAACACCTTTAAGTGACAAAAGCTTTGAGAAGCTGAACTACCACAGAGCTCTGTCAGGAGAGCCCAGCACAGACAGTGGGGTGAAAACCCTCTCTCTGCCAGCCCAGCCTGGGAAATCCTCAGGGGCTGGCTTTCTTCACCTGTTTTATTTAATAAACCAGAGGTGATGTGTCCATAAAAAGGTCAGAAATCCTTTCTTCTGGTCTGTCCAGGCTCCAGCCCCCTAAGTAGTGTGGACTGCCTGCCAGGGGTCTGCTCTACTCATAGTCCAGTCAAATGCCTGCAGGCAGGTTTTGGACTTTGAGTTCCTTCTACCATTTCAGGCTCCTTTCTGCTAGCCAACAAGCTCCAAAGCCATTCATTAGCCCTTTCTTAAAATGTCTGTTTGTCTCACTGATTACAGATACATACAAAGTGCTTGGCTTGAGTGGGACAGACTGCATTAATGAAGCAGAGGAGAGTGAGGACAGCAGAGAGGAATTTTCCCTACAGCTCACAGGCATGCACAGCTAGATGCCACTGTACCACCGAACCCATTATAAAGAGCAAGACCACTTTTTAAATGTACCATTCTCTCATCTTTCAAGGAAGGATATCCCCAAAGGTGTGTTTTCCAGATTTCTACTGGCTTAGGTGAAATAGGAGGGTCTTGGCTCTGCAGTGTTTATGATCACATGTTTATGAGTCCTATGTCTACCACCTGCCCTCAGCCATGGCTGGGGAATTGCTGCCCTGGTGCCAAGAAGCTGCAGCTCTGGGCTCAGACACCACTGGCAGGACCTACTTGATCTTCTTCTCTGTAAGCTGCTCCAGGGCAGAGTGGCAGTCGTCCATCTCTTTCACAAACTCCAGGTTCCTCTTCTCGGCTTTCTCTAGATCTTGCCTTGCCTTGTCTCGCTCCCTCATCATCTGCTCTACTTGACCCCTGCCATGGGAAAAAAAACAGGGTTAATGGAATACATGTTCTGGGCCCAGTGAGCTCTGCATCTGCATGAATGATAAAAAGAGCCAGCATTTTCCAGGTGCATGGCATGGCCCAGCACCGTGCTCTAACTTCACACCACGACCAACGACCTCCTAAAGAGATCTGTGCAATTACTGTGCTCATTTTACAGATATTCACTTAGAGAGAGGTTAAATGAATTGGCAAGGAAAGTTTCTAGAAGGTTTTGGAACCAAAGAATTTGAGCCTAAAGGCTCACAATGTGCCACACCTCCAGATGGCCACAGAACAGGTGAGAATTCATCGGCGTGCCCTCAGGTCTACAGCTGGGACTTTGGCCCCAGGGGTCCCCAGCACCTAATCTGGGATTGGTCACATGAGGGGAGAAGGCTGGCCATCCAATATCCTGTCTGGTCACAGCCCTGACACCTGTAGCCTGAATGAATACAAAATGAGTCACCCAGGGCAGAAGGCCATCTGTGTGTGTGGCCCTGAATCTGTCTAGTCACAACATCCCCCACCTGACAGGAGGCTCTCAATTTACCCTTGGGACTCACTATTCTGGTGACCATTTCTCCCACGGAAAGAACACAGAGCTTTCCCCTGACCCCTCCCATGGCTTGAATATGTATTTTTGGCCTGTCACTTAGCACTTGGTGACAATGTTTGAAGAATACTGCTTTTTCATCTTTAGCCAGCCACCTAGACCTGAGCATCCTCTGGCTGCTCTTAGAAGCACACCTACTGACTGGAGGATTTCTACCTCTGTGCTGTGAGATCTCAAGCAGAAGCAGGATGACTGTCAACCTCAAATCCTGCTCTTTGGAACTTGCTAAAAGGGACTTTGACATAGATATGTAAGACTTACCAAGTGAGAAAGAAGACCAGCCACCCTTAAATTCCACAAAAGCCCAAGCAGCAGCCACTGAACAGTTCACTGGGTCCTCAGGCTCCACTCAAACCACACATGCAGACAAAACTTGAAGGACAGGGAGCCCTCAGCTTGCTCTCACTGCTTAGCTTTTTTGCCGTACCACTGTGAGCACCAGCTAAGGAAAAGCCAGTGGGAAATGTGAACACCCACCTTCCCAACTCACGGAACCGGCTACTTGGGGTAGATGAGGGCAGAATACCAGGTTTCTTGGATACTTCCCTCCAGGCCAGCTGGGCCAGCTGACTCCCCACACCCACCCCAATCACATTAGGGCTCTTACTGGCAGAATCTCAGCTCCTGGCGGTAGCAGGACAAAGCCGCCTGCTGAGTGGCACCACGGATCATCATGAGCTCATTCTCGAGGGCCCAGCTCAGCTCCAAAAGATTCACCTTCTCATCCACACTGAAGTCAAGACTCTGGAAATAGCAAGACCCAACAGACAGAACAGGATGAATGGCTTCTCCAAGCATTTCCTAGCTCTCTTAGAGACAGTCTAGGCTGTGATCCAAACTTTCATGTATGCAGCACCTTCCACTTTTCTGTCAGCAAAGTCTCGGCATCTCAGGCATGACTTTCCCCAACCCATGTAACTCTGGCACCCACCCAGCTCCACCTCATTCCTGTCAATGCCCAATTTCCCCCTTTCATGGTCCCTGCCTCGGGGGTGGGTATGACCCAAGCTGCATAGATCTCCCCTGCTTGGACTTACACAAAAGGGGGGCATGTCCCAAGTAGAAGACTTCATGGGGACTGACAGGAGGCAGAGGGAAAGGGGCCTTTTCCTTGTGAAATCAGCTGTCATAAGGACCTGTGGGTCTTGGGAAGCTAAATGAGACCTGACGTGAGGCCAACACCACCAAGAAGCAAGCAGAGGGATGGAAGGGATTCCTAATAACCACCTGGAGAGCCAAGAATCCCAACACCTGACATGTTTCTCCCATGAGTCCCACTTGGGTGAGCCCTTAGGAGTCTCCCCTCTACTTAAACCATTATGAGTTAGGTTTTGTCATTTCAAACTAACAGAATCCTGACTGGTATGTCTCTATAAAATATATGTATGGATAAGGTGATTTTGTTTGTGGAAAAATGACCTATCAGAGAGACAGCGAGCAAGCCACGGCTGAGTTCCAGAGAGTGGAACAGTCTTTTCCCCTCAGGATTCTGAAAATAAAAGAAAAATTTTCATTTTAGGATTTTAGGTATTGTACACAGGAGGAGAAGGAAGAAGAAAAAGAAGGAGGAGGAGAAAGAATACCCATATGCCCCTCTGCTTGACTAACCAGTGACTAGCACTTTGCCATATTTGCATTTTAGTCTTGAGTGTTCTTGACTCCTGGTTCCTTGTATGACATTTATACACAAGTCCATGGTAGGCACCCCATCAGAGCCTACAGAGAAAGAGTCACACCATTCCCAGCTCACATGTAGGAATAAGGGATGTTCCCTTTTTTTTTAACTTATAAAATAGAAACTTGAATGTCCACTGCTTCCTCACTTCCCAAAGTGCTTCTGAAGAGAAATTATATTAAGGGAGTAATTTGGAAACCTCAAGGTGCTGTTATTACACAAGGGCAAACTTCCCAGCAATAATCTCACAAGACAAAGTGCAATGACATGACTGGTCACAGCAGCAGCTTCCAGATCAAGAAGAAAGGAATCATCAAAAACGAGATAGCATGGGTGGGAGCTAGCTTTTATAATGGTTCCAGTGCTCCTCACCTTCTAGTATTTATGCATTGTATTCCCCTCCTACACTGAATAGGGTCGAGCTGTGTAAGCCACAGCATGTAAAGGGAATAATGGTATGTGAATTTCAAGGCTTGGGCATGGAATACAGGCAGCTTCTTCCTTGTTCTCTTGGATCACACTCCAGGGAAACCAGCTACTATGTTGTGAGGATGCTCAAGCCACCTTAGCGACAGGTCCATGTGGTGAGGAACGGGTCATTTTCAGGCCTATGTGCTTGTTGTTATTGGTAGGTCCAGCAGCCTAAGGTCTGACCACTGATTTCACAGGGTAAGCAGTTATCCAGTCACAGGAAGCAAGGCTCTGACTTTGTGTGTCAGGGCATCCAGACCACCTGCCAGACTCACTGGTGCTCCTGCCCTGTCTGTCATCAGGCAGCCACCCCACCTGTCAGGTGAGATGGAAACAACTTCAGGGCTGTGTGAGGAGTAAATGCAGTCACACATTTGACAGGTCCTTGCTTGGTACCCAGGTTCTGAGGAGAGATCAATAAACATCACTGCCTTTCAATATAATAGAATCAAATTTTGAATGTAACTGGTGAATTAAAAATTCACCTAAAGGAAGGAAAATATTTGGCTATGGCTGGGTAGCTCAGTTGGTTAGAGTGTTGTCCCAGTGCACCAATGTTGTGGGTTAGATCTCCAGTCAGGGCACACACAAGAACCTACCAATGAATGTGTCAATAAGTGGAACAATAAATTGATGTCTCTCTCTCAAATCAATAAATTTAAAAAAGAGGGAAATAGTCTCTGATAACAGGAAAGCAATAAAAAGAGTAAGTACTGAAATGTCAGAGGCAAGGTCAACACTCAACACTGGTCAGAGTATGATGGTAGCCAGCCCACCTCCAAGTGCCAGGGATTCACGAACAGGATTTCAGAGAGAATCTGAAAACTGTGAGCCCCTTCAATGTTTGCCCTCCCTGGGGGCTGATTTCTGTGATCTGGGCTCAGCTTCTGATTCTCAGAAGTTTCAAAGACCAGGTGTCCAGGTCTGGCCTTTCCATCTGGGCTCTGCCTAAGGCTGCTGGGTGGCTATATTTGGCAAAAGCTGAGTTTAGACCTAGGAGGATCTGGCCCAAGGAGCCAGGTAGACTGGCTTAAAGGCTTTGTTTGGGATCCTTCACATATTGTTGTTTCATGCTAACGGGACATTTTTGGAGGCAATGGGACAGAACCTATCAAAAGTTAACATGTGTAACTTCAGTAATCTAGCCGATAGATATACTGGCATTATAGCAGGAGGATATATTAGCATTTTCAATGACCAGATTTATAATAGGAAAAACCTACATGTCCAACAATAAAGAAAAGGCAACATAACAAGATACACAGTATACTGCCCATTTTACAAAAATTAAAAAAAAAACTGGAATGTCTAAGTACATATTTCCTTTTTGTGCCAAGGAAAAGCTCTGTAGAATTAATGCCCACTAAGCCATTAGCTGTTGCCACTCCTGGAGAATGGGAGCAAAGCAGGGGGCAGGCTTTACTATCTTATAGATTTTCATACAGTTGATACTTTTTATTACGATGGGAAATGAAATTTGGAATTGAAAATAATCAGTCTAGTTCACCACACTTCCCCCCAGCATTTTCCCCAGGATCTGACCCTATGGCCCTGAGGGAGGTATGCCTGGCCTCTAGGAAGAGGCTTGGCCATATCTGAGGACAGCTCTTGGACCAGCCCCTGAAAGAACATGGAGGAGCTTGCGGGGAAACAGCAGGGCAGCAAGTGTTCCCATGCCTGACCCAGTGCAGGAGGGTCTGGAGGAAGCAGGGGCTGTGTGGGAAGAAAAGCTCAATAAGCTGTGTAGGCAGCTCTGGGTGGAAATGCTCAAATTTCTGTGGCAGTGATGTCCACTGAGACATCTCTACCACAAGATGACATCTGCACCATGTTGTCTGTGGGACTGACCTCCCTCATCCAGAAAAACAAATCTATCTGTAAATGTATTCATTTCAGGTTGTTGTTTCCTCTGCTTTTTATTTATCTTTTAGTTGAAAATGTCCTATATTTTAATAGCAAAAAAAAAGTTTTTAAAGAAGCGATTCCAACTGGCCTTCCCTACGTGGGGTCCCCTACACTCTGTGTCCACAGGGTGCTCTCCCCAGTCTTCTCTGTGGGCAGATAGCCCCCAAAAGCCTGGACACCTCCCACTGGGATAAGCCACAGAACCAGTTCCAAACCTGCAGGACCTCTCTGCCATTCTGAATCCCCTCCTGGGCCCACAGGGCAATGAGCTGCTCGGGAAAGGCAAAGCCGGTGCCATTGTCAATGCTGCAGAAGAGGCGCGGGCCTGAGCACAAGGACAGGAGAGATGATGTTGTGCTGGTGTGGCAGCCACCCTCCTTCAGGACCTGCACATGGGGAACAGGGAGATGCCTGTGAGCACATGAAACACATCTGCTCTTCTTTAGTGTTTTCTGACCTCACCAGCCTGTGCTTGGTTCTTCACTATTTCATTGAGGCTCAATAAGAATAACTCACAGACAAGGAAACAAACGCAAGGTGCCATTGCACAATTCCCAAGATCACATGGTATTACTCCTCATTGGGTGTGAGAAGCCCTGGGTTCAAACCCTCTTCTGAGGATCCTGGGTACCTCCTCTCCTACCATCCACCTAAGGCCTTGAGCAAAAAACGTCCCAGTTCAAAGAACAATGACCTGACTGGTCAGCATGCACTGCTTAATGTGAGACCCAAAAAAGTTTAACATATTTCCCTTGAATCAATAATGGTGTGTGCCTGGCCACACAAAAGACGGAAATTAGGAAATGCAGTCTGCAGAAGGAAACACAAGATGACCTTAATGGGAATAGGTGGGACAGCCCAAGCATTTCCTCAGAAGTCAGAAACACAGTCTCAGGGAGTTTAAGATGAAGGCAAAAAAAAAAAAAAAAAAAGGCCAGAGAGCTGACCTGTCAGGCTTAGGTTTTGTAAGAATTCACAGGGCAAGATTATTTCCCTTGTTATTTTCTGCCCCAGTTGGGGCCACAGGAATGAGCAGTAGCAGTCCCCTCCTGTCGGCTACCAGGGGTCCTGCCACACCTTCAGGGACACCATCTTTTCCAGCCTTCTCTCATCCCTCATCACAGGCTCTAGTGGCTCTTTGCTCTTTTGGAACATTCCAAGCCTGCCCCATTGCCTAAAACACTTGCCCCCAATGCTTCCATGGCTGGTCCCTTGCTCAGGGCTCTGTTCAGTTGACACTCCCTTGGACCAGCCGAGCCCTTGCCAGCCCACTACTTCCTCTAACAGCACTCACATTTTCAGCAGGGGCTCACTAGCCTGTATGCCATCTGCCTCTCCTGTGGATACAGCAGCCATCTGCCCTCGTCTACTCTCAGCTGTGTCCCTACCACTCCATAAACAGTTACTTAACGACTGGGTGCTCACTAAGCTGTGCTGGACAGTTTACAGACATACAAAGTAGGCATTTTACCTTGTTTACAGATGGGGAGAGGGAGCTCAAGAACACATGAACACCATGGAGAAATTCAGATACCCAAATGCAGCCAGACCACCTTAACCTCCCTCCACCTTCTTTTTCTCTGACAACTATGAGCTTGGGAACAGGGGGTGCCACATGGGGCCTAGACAAGGCTCAGGCAAATCTCTATCTGTGTCACACATCTGAGAGCCAAGCACTGCCACATGATGTCAGAGTCCACACACACATAATGCGACACCTTCCACCCTACAACCATGTCAGCTTGAACAGTCTTGTTGGACAGTCATACCTTGTTGCTTGGGCCACCAGCATCTGACCAATGGTGGGGTCCTGCCTAGCCTGGCTCCTGCCCTCTTCATCTGTGCCTCCATATCAACACATGGGAGGGGAGTGACTCCACCTTAGAAGAGGCAACCATCTTCCACTAGCTCTGAGCATGATCGATGCGACTTCATTGCAGTCTTTGATCATATGTGGCCTGACAACTTCCAACAGCTCTCCTAGTGTTTCCTTTCTTTTCCTTTTAATTGAATTTACTGGGGTGATTAACAAAATTATACAGGTTTTAGGTGCACAACTCCAGAACACATCATCTGTACACTGTATTGTGGATTCAGCACTCCAAGTCAAGTCTTGGTCCATCACCATTCATTCATCCTATTCCCTCCTCCCAGTATCCATGAGATTTCTGTCATTTTTTCCTCTTTAGCTCAATCCCTCCACCATCCCACCTGGTCCCACCACCCCAACAGCTGTCAGCCTATTCTCTATGTATGAGTCTGTATCTGTTTTGCTTGTTAGTTGATTTTGCTTCCACATATGAGTGAAATTATATGGTACTTGTCTTTCTCTGACTGGCTTATTTCACTTAGCATAATGCTCTCCATGTCCATCCATGCTGTCACAAAGGACAAAATTTTCTTCTTTTTTATGGCCGAGTAGTATTCCGTTATGTAAAAGTACCACAGCCTTTTTATCCACTCCTCTACTGATGAACATTTGGGCTACTTCCAAATCTTGGCTATTGTAAATGATGCTGTAATGAACAACGGAGTATATACATTCTTTTGAATTAGTGTTTCACATTTCTTCAGATAAATTCCCAGAAATGACATCACTGGGTCATAAGGCAGTTCCGTCTTTAATTTTTTGAGGTAACTGCTTTCCACAGTTGCTGCAACCAATCTGAATTCCAACCAACAGTGCACAAAGGTTTCCGTTTCTCCATATCCTCACCAATACTTTTTGTTTGTTGATTTATTAATGATAGTCATTCTGACAGGTGAGGTGATATATCTCATTGTGATTTTAATTTACATTTCTCTGATGCTTAGTTATGTTGAGCATATTTTCATATGTCTATTGGCCATCTGTATGTCCTCTTTGGGGAAGTGTCTTATTCAGGTCCTTTGACCATTTTTTAATTGGCTTGGTTTTTGGTGTTGTTTTATAAGTTCTTTTTAAATTTTGGACATTAACCTTTTATCAGCTATATCATTGACAACTATGTTCTCCCATTCAGTGGGTTGTCTTTTCATTTTGTTGATGATTTCCTTTGCTGTCTAAAAATTTTTTTAGTTTGGTGTATTCCTATTTATTTTTTCTTTTGTTTCCTTTGCCTGAGAAGATATATCAGAAAAAAATATTTCTACATAGAATATCTGAGATTTTCCTGTCTATGTTTTCTTCTAGGACTTTTATGATTTTGAGTCTAAACATGAAAATCTACAATGCATTTTAAGTTTATTCTTGTGTATTATGTAAGAAGGTAATATAGTTTCATTTTTGAGCGTGCATATGTGCAATATTCCCAACACCATTTATTGAATAAATCATCTTTACCCCATTGTATGCTTTTACTTCCTTTTTCAAATATTAACCAACTCTAAAGGCATGGGTTTATTTCTGAGATCTCTATTCTGTTCCAGTGATATATATGTCTTTTTAAATACTAGTACTGTTTTGATAACTATGGCCTTATCTCCCAGTCTGATATCAGGTAGCGTGATTCTTCCTACTTTGTTGTTCTTTCTCAAGATTGCTATTGGTATTCAGAGTCTTTCGTGGTTCCATATAAATTTTTGGAATATTTGTTCTAGTTCTGTGAATGTGCCACTTGTATCTTGATAGGAATTGTGTTGAATCTATAGACTGCTTTGGGTAGTACAGACATTATAATGATGTTAATTCTTCCAATCTATGAACATGGTATATACTTCCACTTATTTGTAATTTCTTCAATTTCTTTGTCAGTGTCTTATAATATTCTCAGTACAGGTCTTTTACATCCTTGGTTAAATATATTTCTAGTTATTTTATTCTGTTTGAAGCAATTTTCAATAAAATTTGTTTCTTAGTTTCCTTTTCTGATAGCAAGTGTTGTGTAGAAGTATTTATGCTTTGAGTATAGCAATATTGTTTGTGATGACTGTTACAAATGTGCAAAGCCAACTATTTAAGATTCTGATTAATTAATGTTAAAAACATTTTTGGTTTTATTTTTTAGCAATATCCATGTTTCCATTATTTGAAAATAAAATTTTTTATTCTTACTGTTTTTATATTTCTTTGTTTAATATTTTTTAGATTATAACTGTGAATAAAAAGCATGTATATTATTATTAAATATAATAATTAGAAATTTGCAGCGTTTTAAATTTTTTTCACATCAGCACATAATAGTAATGAATGTATCTCTCAGATATAGGTAACCTACACCATAATTTTTTTGACTGCGACCTCCACAGGGTCAACCACATTCCTCTGTCTCCTCCTCTGCCTTCTCCTCCTCCTCCTTCTTAAAGCATATCCTTTAACATTTCTTGTAATATTTGTTTGGTGGTAACAAACTCCTTTAGCTTTTTCTTGTCTGGGAAGCTCATTATTTTTCCTTCAATTTTAAAAGATAGCCTTGCTGGGTAAAGTAATCTTGAATATAGGTCCTTGCTTTTAATCACTTTGATTATTTTATGTCAATCCCTTCTTGCCTGAAAGTTTCCATTGAGAAATCGGTTGATAGTCTTACAGAAGCTCTGTTGTATGTAACAAACTGTCTTTCTCTTGTGGCTTTTAAGATTCTCACTTTGGGACTTCCAGCCAAGATGGAGGCGTAGGTAGATACATTTTGTCTCTTTGCACAACCAAAAGAAGGTCAACAAATTTGAAAACAAAAAAATAACCAGAACTACCAGAAAACTGAACTGTATGGAAGTCCAACAACCAAGGAATTAAAGAAGAAACCAGACCAGTAGGAGGGGCAGAGATCGGCAGCCAGGGGAAAGAGGACCCGTGGCAAGGCAGCAGCTGGCAGACTGGGCGGTCCCACATTTGTGTGTGGACAAACCAGGAGGAACAGCTGGGGAGCGAGACAGACCATGCAATCCAGGGTTCCAGTGTGGGAAAAGAAAGCCTCAAAACCTCTGGCTGTAAAAACTTGTGGGGGTTGTGGCAGCAGGAGAAACTCCTAGACTCACAGAAGAGTTTGCTGGAGAAACCCACAGGGTCCTAGAAAGTATATAAACCCACCCACAAAGGAATCAGCACTAGAAGGGCCCAATTTGCTTGTGGGTAGCAGGGGAAGTAACTAAAAGCCAGCTGAGAACTGAGCAAGTCGCATTGTTCCCTCTCAGGCCCCTCATACAATGCCACAACGCAGCAACGTGGGTTGCCTTGCCCTGGAGAATACCTAAGGCTCCACCCCTTACAACAAAACAGGTGCACACTGAGACAAAAAAATGTGGCCCAAACAAAAGAACAGATCAAAGCTCCAAAAATAGAACTAAGCCAAGAAGAGAGAGCCAACCTATCATACGCAGAGTTCAAAACACTGGTAATCAGGATGCTCACAGAAATGGTTAAGCATGGTTGCAAAATGTAGGAAAAAGTGAAGGCTATAAATAGTGAAATAAAGCAAAATATTACAGGGAACCAACAGTGAAGGGAAAGAAAATGGACTCAAATCAATGATTTGGAGCAGAAGGAAGAAATAAACATTCAACCAGGACACAATGAAGAAACAATTCAAAAAAAAAAAAATGAGGAGAGGCTTAGGAAACTCCGGGACAACTTGAAACATTTCCAACATCTGAATCATTGGGGTGCCAGAAGGAGAAGAGGCAGAGCAAGAAATTGAAAACTTATTTGAAAAAATAATTAAAGAGAACTTCCCCAATCTGGCAAAGGAAATAGACTCCCAGGAGATCCAGGAAGCTGAGAGAGTCCCAAAGAAGTGGGACCTGAGGAAGCATACACCAAGGCACATCATAATTACATTATCCAAGATTAAAGATAAGGAGAGAATCATACACACAGCAAAGAAAAGAAGACAGTTCCCTACAAAGGAGTTCCCATAAGACTATGAGCTAATTTCTCAAAAGAAACGTTGCAGGCAAGAAGGGGCTAGCAAGAAGTATTCAAAGTCCTGAAAGGCAAGGACCTACATCCAAGATTACTCTATGCAGCAAAGCTATCATTTTGAATGGAAGGGCAGTGGAAGGGCAGATAAAGTGTTTCCCAGATGAGGTCAAGTTAAAGGAATTCAACATCACCAAGCCCTTATTTTATGAAATATTAAAGAGACTTATCTAAGAAAAAGAAGATCAAAAACTATGAACAGTAAAATGACAACAAACTCACAACTATCAACAACTGAACCTTAAACACACACACACACACACACACACACATACACACACACACACACAACTAAGCAAACAACTAGAACAGGAACAGAATCACAGAAATGGAGATGGGGGAGGGGGATAGAATGGGGGAAAAGGTACAGGGAATAAGAAGCATAAATAGTAAGAACAAAATAGGCAGGGGGAGGTTAAGAATATTATAGGAAATTGAGTAGCCAAAGAACTTACATGGACGACCCATGGACATGAACTAAGGCAGAGGGTGGGGGGAATTCTGGTGTGAAGTAAGGCGTAGCATGGAAGGGAATAACAGGGAAAAAATAAATGGGACAACTGTAATAGCAAAATCAATAAAACATATATATAAGAATGATTCTCTCTTTGTCTTTAATCCTTACCATTTAAATTATGGTATGTCTTGTTTTGGGCCTCTGTTTTTGGTCCCTCTTAGTTGGGACTCTCTGCACTTCCTGGACTCGAGTGTCTTTTTCCTTCACCAGGTTAGGGAAGTTTTCAGTCATTATTTCTTCAAATAGGTTCTTGATCCCTTGCTCTCTCCCTTCTCCTTCTGATACCCCTGTGATGTGGATGTTGCTATGATTCATGTTGTCTCAAAGGTCCCTTAAACTATCCTCATTTTTTAAAATTCTTTTTTCTTTATGCTCCTCTGATTGGGTATTTTTTTCTACCTTGTCTTCCAAAGAGCCTATTCAATCCTCTGCTTTGTCCAACCTATTATTTATTTCTTCCTGTGTAGTCTGCATTTCAAACATTGTATTTTTCATTTGCCTGGTCCTTGTTTATGGTTTCTATTTCCTTTTTCAAGCTGTTGACCATCCTTATAACCATTACTTTGCACTCTATATCTGATAAATTGCTTCCTGCTATTTCATTTAGCTCTTTTTCTGTAGAATTCTTCTGTTATTTCATTTGGGGTATGTTTCTTTGTTTCCCCATTTTAGTGGTCTCTTTGTGTTTGTTTCTTGGTACTAGGTAGATCTGCTATGACTCCTAGTCTTTGTAGGGTGGCCTTATATAGTAGGTGTCCTGTAGGACCCAGTGGGGCAATCTTCCCAATCACTTGAGCTCAGTGCTCTAGAAATGTCCCTCATGTGTGTTATGTGGGTTTTCCTGTTGTAATTGAGTCTTGATTACTATTGGTTCATTTGTGCATGGGACTGAACCTCAGTCTGGCTGACTGTGAGGCTCCACCCCCAACAGAGTGTGCAAGCTGCTATGCAGGTTCTGATCACAAGCAGCAGAATTTGCTTTAGAAGGTTTTAGTGCTTACAAGATCTCTCTGTGGATATGCTACTTGTGAAGCTTATTGGATTCTGTTTTATTGTTGTCTGAGGCTGGCTACTGAGTATGTTGGTTCTGGGCCTCTTTGGAGCAACTCTGATGAAGACCTATTCAGACGCTGCTTTTGATTGGAGCTGGACAACCTGTTCGGAGCTGTTAGTGAGCCACAGTTTATGGCTCCCTCTGCTGGGTGTGGACCAAGCTGTGTACAAAGTCTGGCTTTTATCAGCAACAGGCTGGCTGCAGGTCAGCAAAAGTCCCAAAGCACCCTGAGATCTGCTTCTGCCTGCCTTCACCTGTTGCCCATTAAATTTTTTATCCTTACCTGAGGGCATTTTTAAAATTGCTTTTAGAGAAAGAGGGAGAGAGAGAGAGAACATTGATATAAGAGAAATATCAATTGGTTGCCTCCTGTAAGCACCTCAATCAGAGTTAGTATATGCCTGGACATGGGATCAAACCTACAACCTAGGCATCTGCCCCAACTGGGAATTGAACCCACAACCTTTTGATAACTGGATCATGCTCCAACCAATTGAGCCACACTGGCCATGGCTGTTCACTGCATGTTAGGCTCAGTCACTGAAAGAGCTTCTGGCTATACTCCTCAGCAGGGTGTATGCTCCACTGGGTGGAGCTACTGCTTTCCCCAGAAAGATGGCATCTGCAATATGGGAGAATGATGCAACACAGAAATCCTGCCAGCTGACCCTTCAGTTCTCTACCCAGAGCCACAAATCCCAGACTCTTCTCATATGACTCTAGTTCATCCTGCCCTCCCTCCCCTGGAGCCCAAGGTGAGTTGCTGTGAATGAAATTTTCTACATTGGTCCTTTAAGGGGATGCCTGTATCACTAGCTGTCTTTCCCTGGCAGACAGAAATCCCACTGCTTTTCACAGCCAGATCTTATGTGGGTGTGCCTTCTTAGCTCTGGTGCTCTGAGCTGGGGAGCCTGGCTTGGGATTTAGACCCCACAGTTCTCACGGTGAACTCCCTCCTACCCTCCCTAGACTTAGATATCCCCCCAGAACCTCAGCTCCCACCCTTGGGAGTGGGCCAATCCTTTTTGCATCTCCGCCCTTCCTACCAGTCTTGATGTGGCTTCCTCTGTAAGTCTTTGGTTATAAGGCTTCTCTTCAGCTAGACTTCACTTGGTTACTCAGGATGATTGTTCTACAATTTACTTATAATTCCAATTTGGTTCTGGGAGGAGGTGAGTGTAGCTTCCACCTACCCTATCACCACCTGGGACCTCTCCTAGTTTCTTCTTTGTCCATTCTCACTGAGTTCAGATTCAGAAACCTGATTTTCAGATTACCTGGCCCGGCAGAGAAGAGTATTACTGGTTTTGTGCTATCATCCACAAACCACAGGATCATCCATATCAGCAAAGAAGCATCAACAAGACTCCCAGAGAATCTGCCCTGTGGTGGGAGGGGACATTCTTACTTTCCAGGGACTGAAAAAACAAAGTACTAAGCCAACTGTCACCAAAACGAAATCACAACTGCCCAAAATCTGCTCTCCTCCAACTGCAGAGACCTGGTATTTGTAACAAAATTCAGAAGTAGATGGTAGGGAGATCACAGGTTAATGAACATATGGAGTGTAATTCTAGGAAAGGTTTAGAACACTTCACTGACAGTGCTCTCACCACACCATGATAAAGAGGAAGGAGAGATGGTTCTTTTATCGGAACATAATGTATCTAATACCGGGAAGACACAGTGAGGAACTATCATGGAATCATCATAAAACTCCTATAAGGTAGGTGCACATTTCAAGATGAGGAGCCTGAAGCTCAGAAAAGGTGAGTAACTCACCCAGTGATACACAGCTAGATAGGGGCAAGCCACATCAGCTCCAAGATCTGTGTGGTTCTAGAATCTAAGTCACACAACCTCCTACTTATACAAATGTGTGTGCACGCTCTGACCAGCTGCTGAGGCTCACTGTGGTGACACAGGTAGAAGAGTCTGGTCTGTGAAAACTGCTGAAGATCAGAGAGTGACAGCAGTTAGTGCTGTGGTTCAAGATTTAATTGTCCCATTTTACCTGGTAATCAGACCAGGACCTGCTCAGTCTGACAGGAGTGGAAGATTCCAGAAGTGAAGTGGTCCCATGATTAAACAGGTTAAGCTGGAATTCCTCAAGACTCACTCTGCCATCTCGGTCTTGATCCAATTTGTTAAACAGGTCCTCTAGTTCCTAAATGAAAGCCAACATATCTCTGCTCTGAGGCTCTACCCACAAGCAGCTAGATGCCAGCTACAGTCACCCAGGCCCACCCATCCACCCTCTCACTCCCTCACCCTCCCAGTCACCCTCCCTCTCCAAGCAGGGAAGTTTGCTTGTCCTCATCCAAACTCAAACTGTTGGGTCACACCTAGCCTCCCCAGGCTCTGGCTTATAAAATCTACATGTCTGGTCAGTTTCCATCCTGCTGTGAATCAGTGCCACCTGAACTTCCTAAATTCCACAAATACCCATTCAGTGTTCAATGTGGCAGGAACTTGTTAGAGGGTAGAAAAGATGTATATGGAGCACGGTCTGGGCCCCCAGAGGTTCAGGGTCTAACAAGGGCAGCAGGGCTGAGAGGTACTTTAACAAGGGGGGACTGCCCTATCACCACTGTTTGTTCCTCCTCCTGTTGGTCCCTGCAGGAGAAAAGGAGAGGTGTAGCTAGGCTCTGACGGCATCATGTTTGGTTTGGTAGTAGAACAGAGCCACATAGGTAGGGGGAAAAGGTGTTACAGGTAGAAGATGCTTAGAGTTTGACAAGGGTCAGAGAAGGACCCTCAAGGATGCAGACTTCAGCAGAAGCACTAGGAGACATCAAAGAATTTTAGACCAGAAAGTGATAAAATTGAATCAGTGCCTGCAGGATAAAGGGATTTTCCAGATCAAACAGCAACCATGGCCATTGCAAAGAACCAGTCATTGAGGGTGGTCTGTCGTTGACCTCCTTTACCTCTTTCTTGAGTCCCTGGAGCCCAATGCTCTGGCAGACCAGAGCCAGCTCTTGCTTGTTGAGGTGACCACTGCTGCCAACACCCAGCTTTTCCCAGATGTCCTGGACCTGGCTCTCAGGAGTATCAAAGGGAGAGCTGTGGGACTTCTGAGTGCTTCCAAAGACCCTGGAACCCCAGGTTGGCAGCTGGCCTGAAGCAGAGGGAGTGACAGGTAAACCTGGTGCTGCAGGTAGAAGGACTAAGGGGAAAAGCACCTAAAATCAGTACATTACTCTGAAATCAGATTGACACAGGTAAGTAGCAAAGCATGAAAAGTAAAATCTAGGTGGTAGGTACATGAGTATTCACTGTACAATTCTGTCAATTTCATTCTGTGTTTCTAAGTTTCATAATAAAACCTCTCTGCTCCATGTGGGGAAAACTTTTTCTGAAGGGAACCTATTAAAGTCACACCATTGGAAACACATAAAAGAGGGCTGCATTATTTGTATATATAATAAAAAAAATTTTTAAATTAATTTTTAGAAAGTTTCAAACCTACCCAAAGTAAAGAGCATAGTCCATTGAATCCCAGTGCACTGGTCACACAGGCTCTGCGATGATAAAGATTTTGCTGTTCTGACTTCAATTACCCCTTTTTTGCTGTTGCTGAAGTGCTTGAAAGTAAATCCCAGATCTCATGTTTTTATCCCTCCCTATTTAATATTTAGTATGTATTTCTGAAATATATGGACATTTTCTTTTTCTTTTTTGATAAAGTCATGTACTTTATTGTGGCATGCATGTCTGAGTTTATGTGAAATAGCCTATTAAATATGATGGGTCTTTTAAATTATTTTTTCAAATTCATTTAAATCAATAGTAATACAATTTCCTGCCATGAATATCAAATCTCACTGTGTGTGCACCTATTTTTAAAGTTGCTGCCCTTATAACTTAGCGAGAAAAAATATATAATCAATGCCCAAGTCTCAGCATGGACCAGGCCATCCTATTTCAGTAGGAAACCAGTACTAGTTAGGTTGTGCTAAAGCTGATTCTTCTGTCTGCCCAAGGTTATAGGGCTCCCCTCTCACTATTGTTCAGTTGTTTGTTCCAGGTGATTTCTCCACAAATTAGTTGTAATTCCAGATTGGTCCTAGGAGGAGGTCAGTGTAACTTCCATTCACTCTGCCACCATCTTGATTCTCCTCTCAACATTTTCTTATATACCCATAATGCCATTATCATACCTAACAAAATCAACAATTTCCCAACTGTCTCAAAAACATCTTACAGTTGACTTGTTTGAATTGGTATCCAAACAGTGCATTTGGTTATTACTTCTATTAAGTCTTCCATCATGAGGACCTCTCCTGTCTCCTAACCCCTAGCACTGTTGGGTTTAAGAAACTGGATCAGCAGTTGTTTTATGGGATATGTCCCTTATCTGGATTTGTATATTTGCTTCCTCATGGTATCATATAACCTGTTCCTCTATCCCTCATATTTCCTATAAACATGAAGTTAGCATCAAAGAATAGTTTGTAATTTGGATTCAGGCTTACTTTTTTTCCTGGCAAAAACACTCCACAGATTAAACTTTGTACTCCGCACTAACTCACATCAGGGGGTGCAGGTGCCTTTGAGATGCAAAGACTCATCAGTGGGTTTGGGTGACAGATGGCCAATTTTTATAACTTTACTACTTTAGCCAATTGGCTTACTGATGGTTTCTGAAGCTTTGCCAGAGAAACAATTTATGGAAGAGGCCATATGCCATTGGTGTCCATAAAGAGCTATCCATAGATGAACTATGCTTTAAACCAGACAGTTACCTCTACTACCAGTCCAACACAGAAAGAGGGCCTCTTCCACCTAACTCAAACTTGAGTTTTATGTCAGTGGTCTATACATTTCAGGTAGATGAGCCACCTTGGTGTTAATTACTTTAATAACCCAACTAACAATCAGAAAGGCACTTTCCTCAAGGAAAGCCAGGGCTGCATGCTCACAAATGTTGCTGTAGGTTGGGGCTGAAGAAAATGCAGGGAAAGAACCAGGCAAAAAAGGGCCACCTCTGAGCTCCCCTCCAATTTAAAATTTCTAATAAAATTTCAAAGCAATTTTGATACTGGGGTTTATTTCTCAAAGCTGGTGGAAGATGTAAGTAAATTCTTTGAGGTTTGACATGGGTGTTTGTGCACTGCTGATGGTTCTAACACAGAGGGAAAGGTTTCTGTTCAAGGTTGTAAAGAAACCAGCCTGCTCTCCGGGCAGAGAGCAAGTACCAAATCATTTTGTGAATAACCACCCTAGGAGCCCTTTCTTAGACTCTGAATCTAAAGAAATTAATACATGATGACTTGCCTTCTCTTCCCAACACAAGGTACCTATCTGCTTCATCCAGTAGCACAGGCAGATGTTCAGGTTAGTTCCTGGACATCTACAGAAGTGAATGGTGGACAAACAATGGTCCTGCACTTGAGGAACACAATCTACAGGTTGTCAGTGCCAACTGCTGATACTTTGCTGCAGCAGAAATTCAAGGTCAACTCTGGTATCCCACTCTACAAGCCAAGTTTTTGCACTTCCTGCCTTGTGACATATCACAAGCTGACCTATTGCAATTTGCTTACATATACTTGCTACTGCTTTCTGGTTGCTTCCATAAGGTTCCCAATGACCAGGACCATGTCTTGCACTCCATATGGGGCACAGATAGGGTCCCTAGAGGGTGGTAAAACTATCCAGTCACAGAAGGGGAGAGTCTGCACCCAGTCCTGTGCATCAGGAAGGGGACACAGGGCCTGCCCTAGGAACAATGGGCCTCAGACCCCAGGGCCACACCTGCCAAGTGGGATCATGCTGGTCCCTGCAGATTGAAATGTCGCAGAACCACACTGCTTCCTTAGCCAGGGGACTCTGCCATAGGGTCTGAACTCAGGTGAGGCTGAGGACAGAGTGACAGCCTCATAGCTAGAACCACACTCAAGAAGAGGCCCACCAGGGATACCACCCACATTACATGCTTCCAGGAAATGATACTTGGCTGGTTCACTGTTCAACAACCCTGGAGCTTTCAGAGCACTGGTTAAAGGTAGCACCAAGCATGAGGCCACAGCTTTACCTTTTGCTTCAAACAACTGATTCTGAGGTTCTTTAGCACTTTCAGCTTCTTCATCTGACTTAAGACTCTGCAGAAAAATGAAGAGAGGATATGACAGTAGGCAGAGCACCAATAATAAGTAGATGGTATGTCTTGGGGCTGGGTAGCGACAACTGGGGAAGAGGACCAACAGCCTGGTGAGATGCAACTCCTTCAAATAAAACCCCACTACTGCAGGGCAGCACCCATACCCAGGCAATAGTTCACAATAAAAACACAACAAAAACATTGTACTTTATCTAACAGGAGAGAAAAATGCTCCCCAAACCAGCGTCTCTTCAAGAAGCGTAGCCCTGGAGATTTAATTAACATTCCATCACAGGACAGGATCTCAACTTGAGGCCTGAAAGTGCTCAACCCATCCCTTATCACTCATATCAGTTCTGCAGTTGGAGGGAGAGCAGGTCTCTCTATCCCTTCAAGAGTTCCGGGGACAGCATGGCATGTTGCAAGGACCTGACATATTGGTGCCCTCTGCAAGCTGCATCCCAAAGGAAAAGGGCCATCAGGAAACTCCTGCTTGAGTAAAAATCTCATGTTTTTGTAACTGAGGCAGCTGACTGTAGGGGGCCATTTTGAGTGGTATCGGGGACTATAGTCCAGCGTAAGCTGGGGCCTGGGAGAGGAACCATAAGACTTGGCTTGAACACTGGTAATAGGGTTGATAGGCAAGACCCGATGATAACTCCGAGGGCCCCCAGGGGAAATCAGGCCTAGAAGTAAATTATATTCCTAGAAGCATGCTTTGTTTCTCCCCTCAAGCTCTGTTAATCTTATACCAGATAACCAGCTAAAGCTGGGAAAGAAATTTATAAAATTCCTGGACCATGATCCAAATCCCACCTGGCACCATATGTTTGCTCATCTCAGACCCAAACAATTTGTTGTGTTCCTCCCATTGTCTTCTTTAAACATCACCTATTCTCTGTAAGCTTAAGTTTCTGATATGATTAGATTACCTATACATTCCTGCTGCCTCTCCCCTGCTTGTAACCCTCTCAATAAAAGCCAGTGAGTACAGGGGCTTGGGGCATTCTCCTTAAGAGAGAATTGCCTTCCCCTTTCCTTGATGGGCAAACAGTGTCTGTAACAACTCTTTCTTCCATCTGTGGCAAATCAGGGGACTTCGCAGGCCGGAATCTCCCATAGCTAACCACAAAGTCAAAGTCTGCTTCTGATGGCTACTGTGTGTCCCATGACCAATTCTGGAAAGAGTGCTGGTTGACAAAAATTCAACACTCCTCAGAGCCAACACTGAGTTGAGGGTAGGAATATGGAAGAACCTGGTATGTCCCATTTGCAACTCAACCGACAACCTAAAATCAGTGTTCCCATGTTCTAGTTCTAGGAATCAAAGACGGTTTTAAGAAACAGGGCAGCACACAAACATGGACCCACACAGCCCTCCATCCTTAAGGGCCAAGTTAAAAAGAGAATGAAAAAAGCAAATGTCTGGGATTTGTTGTTGTTGCCCAGGTATAGCACATCCCTGAGACAAGTGACACTGGGATCTAAACACATATTTTTTTCTTTGCCTCAATAAATGTTGAGCATATAAACAAATTAATTTGGAGGCCCAGGGCTGTCTTATTAAAGATAAGACCCCCTACTACCTCATCTGACAGAAGTGTCATCACAAAGAGCAAGAAACAGAAACCTGGAATCCTTGAAAACAGGTATAATGAGTCCACGATTTACTTGTAGACTCTGGATCTGCCCTGTGGACATATTTCTTGACATGAAGCCCACAAGGCTCCAGAAACCCAGCTCCTGGGTCAGATCCTGAGCCACATGAAAAACTCAGGCAGACTGGGGGTTAGAGTCAACTCCCAAGGCCCGAGAGGATCTGGCATATGCTCTCCAAATTGTATATGTGTGGCTCAGGATATTCTAACTGTTTGAGGAAGGTGGTAAGGCAGGCTTTAACATCCAAATTCCTAACCTTGGGGCTGCATTAGAAAGACAGGTTCCTTTTTATATCCTTGGCTGATTACCACTCCACTCCTCTGAAACTATACCATAAAAATAGCTTTCTTGAAAGGTTTTGTACACAAACTCTCTACCACCCCGTTGTCTGAAGGAGTATGCTTTGAGCCAGAATTCCTTGCAGATAAGTACGTCTAAAGACTTCTCAGAATGAAATGTCATTCTCCAAAGTGCACTGAGCTCCTGGCGACAAAATGCCCAGGAATGCCCATCCTCCCTTTACATCTTCCTGTAGTGAGAAGTGACTAAGTGAAATGCTATTTCCCCAATGCTAGACAGCCTGGGGTGGGAAAGAGAGGACATGACTCACCTCCACACTTTCCAGAGATGCAGAGCGTCGGATCTGGCTTCTTACTGTGGCCTTGGCTTGCTGTTCTGGTAAAAATTTGGTTCTGGTTGCAGAGTTGCATGGCTCAGGTAGGGTCCTACGGCCATACCACTTAGAGCCTCTCACATACTTTGGTGGAACAGCATAGGAGGCAGCTGGAGGGGAAAATGGGAAGTTTCTGGGGGACAGGCCTTTAAAGCAGCCTCTAGACTCGTGCATGCCACTGAGATTCCCTTTAAGAAGGTGTAGATTCAGATACAGAGCCTATCTTCCACTGATGAATGTACTTTTATGCTCAGAGAAAACGTCTGCAAGAACACAGGGAACAGTTAGTAGCAATTATCCTGTTTCTGAGGGTGGGGACTGAGAATGCCAGACAGGAAGACAGGGACTCTCCACTCTAAACTACATGCTGTTTAAATTTTTTCAAGCATATTTTGCTTGTGTTTAGGTAATAAAAACTCATTAAAAAATCTAATTTTTTTATGCAAAGGAAAAAAAATCCTCCAACAATCCAGCAACATACCACTCTAGACATGAGAAATTCCCTTTCCACCCTGCTTACTCTAGGACTCCAAGGTACAGTAGGGCACATGCAGGTGGGCACACACCTCTAATACAGCTGTGTAGGCTCAGGCTCCACATAGATCTAAAGTCTAGGGTACAAGCAGGTATGAACTTTAGTTTTGGGATTCATGAGAATCCCCTAAACCTTAATAATCTTGCACTTTCTTCTTCCCACCTTACCTGTCCACATCTGCACAGAGCAGCTGGGATCTCTCAGCCAGAGAAGACAAGACACTGACTCTGTGCAGGATCTTAGGCAGGCAGGAGGGAGATAGGGGAGGGCCGCATGCGCAGTGGCCAGGACAGGATGTGGGTTCAGAAGGAAGCAACTAGAATGGGCTAATTGGAAAAACATAGGTACCAGTGAGATGAAGCTAGGTCAGGCCAGGAAAACGAGGAGCATTTCACTGCAGATGTGTCTTGAGCCTCATCCCTACAGAAGTCACGTTCCTTAAGGTCAAGAATGCCACATTTCTTTCTTTCATGACCAAAATGGTTAGTCCATAGCCCCTGACCTTGGGACCATCAGAGGAGGAGGCTGGGTCCATCCTGGCTGACCAGAAGAATGGTGATACCAGTGACAGACATAAACTAGGTACATGGGAGGAGTTTCTGGGAGGAAGATGCTCAGTGCCACATGGGACATGCAGAATATGAAGTAAGAGTATAATATTTAAGGCAGCTGACAAAATGCAGGTTGACTATATAATTTCTCACCACACTGAGGAACTCTGAGATAATCATAGGCATTATCACTAATCACTTGGTAGCAAACATTGACAGGGCCTGTCCCAACAAACTCTCACCATGTGACAGAACTCATGGGATGTGCTGAAGGAGAGTGCCAAGTGTCCAAGTCAGCATAGGGAAAATGAGTATCTGTAAACAAACTTACCCACGTTCAGAAGAGGCAAACTACAAACATGAAGAAAGGCTCTCAGTAGAGAGCTGCTGAAAGGGTGAATGAGAGACCAATGAATAAAAGCTCTTGCATCCTATTTAGTTTTCCATTTATAGGGAGGCTGCTGACTGGTTACTGTGGGTGGGAAAGAATCCTCCTCTTTCCACCCAAAAGTGGTGTTAGGAGAGGGATTTCTGTGTCAGGTGAGAAGTGGAAAGCTGTGGCATATATGAGAAAATCAGGTGCACAAAACTCAGAGAGGAACTCTGGCATGCCCTCCTAAGCCATCAGACCCCTGCAGAAGTAGAGTCCTGGCCACCTCCTGGGCTAAGCCCACTTGTTGGCACATCTGGAGATTATGCAACTAGCATGTGTTTCTGCTTTGTAGGCTTGATTTTCCTTCCTTCCACTTCCTCTCCTTACTTGACTCCTAGTCCATGTCTGGAATCCCACCCTGTCCTGATGCTGGCCACACTTCTTCACAGTTGCCAACAAGTCCGCAGTTTCCTGAGAGTAATAAGCCACTGAGAAAAACACATGCCTCTTTCATATATTCCCCAATGTTCTACAAAACACACACACACACACACACACACACACACACACACACAGAGTCCAAAAAACTATCACTTCCCTCCCTCCAAAAAGGAGAAATGCTACTATAGAAAAGTGCCCACATGGCAAGGCAGAACAGAAATAGTAAGAGCAGAGGAATGATGGTAAAATGAATGGGGCAGCCCAGAGAATCAAAAGAGTCATACCCTCTTGGGGTGGGAAGGACAGTAAGTTACCAAAACCAAACATATTCAGTCTGGGCACAGCCCAGCTCGTTGCCACACACTCCAGTGTCCACAGAACACAAGACATGGCCCCTCATTATCCTGGTAGAAAGGAAAGCACACCTGCTGACCAAAACCCTAGACACTAGGTTGTATCTTCTTGGTGTACATTTTTATTTATAGGAAAAAGAGTAATGAAATAAAAAAATTACAATAAATTTGGTTATATGTTCAATAATGGCCTTTAATGAAAAGAGTAGAATGATGCGGAAGCTGAAATGTCCTTCAAAATCCTGGGGATTTGGTCTCACAATGACACACTCCTTCCTGGAGTATCAAAAGCACTTTTCAGTTATGGTGGGAGATGGTGGGAAGGACTGGCAAACAGATTAGAAAACAGGGAGAGTGATGCTATGAATGGAGCAGTGGGTAGCAAATAAGGCATCAAGAAGACAGATACCTAAACCACATTTGACAGAGGGGGCCTGAGACAGGGAGGGTAAGCCAGGGGTGGGAAGCTGAAATGAACATCATCCTGGAATGTACCAGGCTCATTCTGACTCTCACGGAAACACTGTGGCTGCAGGACCATCAATGCCCAGTCAGGCCTTTAAGCACTGGGCACCCTGCCTCTGTGGACAGGTGCTTGGAGTTGGACACTAGGATGAGCTCCATCTATTGGCAGAAGAGGGAGGGAGTGTCTCAGGCAGGGCACACAGCCACTTACCTGAGGAAAGCTGTAAAATACAAAAGGTGTGGCTCAGTGGGTTGAGTGCCAGCCTGTGGAGCAAAGGGTCACTGGTTTGATTCCCATTTGGGTCACATGCCTGGGTTGCAGGCCAGGTCCTCAGTGTGGGGTCCATGAGAGGCAACCATACATTAATGTTTCTCTCCCTCTCTCCCTCCCTTCCCCTATGGAAATAACTAAATAAAATATTTTTAAAAAATAAAAGGAAATACAAAACAAAACTGTCATGGGTGAGAAAAAACACAAGTTCTAAAAGCTTCATTTTCTCTCTGAAGGACCTGAGAACATGTCCCACAAATCCATACAGTTTTAGGCTTAGAAGCAGCACACATTCTTTATTACAAGAGGGCACATACAGTGTCAGTGACACTGGGCACTCGTCTTTTAGGCTCATAGATATCCATGGTCACACAATCACATTCTCAAATCCTGTGAGTTAGGAAAGGCAAGTGGTCTTCTTCACAGCTTAAAGAAGAAAAATATGAGCTAAAGCACCCAGTGAATCTCCTAGGGTCTTCCCCTCCTAGTTCAAGGCTCTTTACACTGTATTCAGATGTCTTTGAAACCAGCAGGAAGAGGATGGAAGACGGCCGACTATAAGCACCCACTAAAGGAGCAAGTCCTGGCAACAGTTCATATACAAGGGCCCAGGACTTAACGCTGGAAAACCAGGACTTAAATAGTGGCCATCATTTATTGGCTATGGGATCCTGGACAAATCCATTCATACCTCAGGCTTCAGTTTTCTCATCTGAATAATGTGTATGATAATAATGCATAGAATATCTATGAGGGTTAAGTAAAACCTATATAAAATGTGCAGAAAGCTCAAAGCCTGACACACAGAAGACATTCAATATTCTTAACCCACTTTTCTTCACCGCCATAGGCCCTACGCACACTATCACCCTGCTATCCAACAGTCATACACCTGCTTGTGACCACAGATCCACCAGAGCCCACTCCTCGATCTGCTGATCAATATCATCACCTCCATCCTCAGACACAGAGTCCATATAAAAGGGAAAGCCCCATTACTATTCCACTCACTCTGATACACATCTAGAGGAACCATACTCAGTCTTGGCAGGTCAGGTGACTGCCATTCATAGCCTGAGGCCCAATGGAGTATCTTCTGACTCTTTTTGTGCAATCTACATGTGCATGAGTTGACATCCCTTCAAAATGCTCCCTCTACCTCCAGACCACTACCAAAGCCAAGTAGCTTTCCCTTCAGGATGTGACTTCCACTTAGAAATGTTATCTTTCTCTAACCAGTCCCATTTTAGTAATAAGAGTCAATTAAGTTCTATTAGCACAGCATAACATTATTGTCTGAGACAAAAGATATACTGAGGCCTGTCCTGGGCTGCTGGCATCCTACCTGCTCTGCCAACCTCAGAGATCTAGAAACACCTTACATCTGCACTGTACTAAAAATTCTTAAAATCTTCAACTCCTCCATATCCATTTTATCATGTCAACAACTTATTCTGTAAGGACACCACATAGTATTATTTGATGCTTGTGATACTGTGATCTTATAATAAATACATATTTGGTCTTCATTCCATCCATGGCACAGAGCTCTGAACTTTTGGAATTTTCTAATAAGAGCAACTATCCCCGAGTTTATGTTAATGAGGTAACTTCTCCAAAGCACCAAAGGATGGGGGCTGGTTGCCAAGGGAACAAACCATGTGATGAGAGGGTTGGGAATTCTGGCCCCACTCCCTGGCCCCAGGAGAGGGGAGAGAGCCTGGAGGTTGAGTTCAATTACCAATAGCCAATGATTTGATGAGTCAGGTCTATGTAATGAAGCCTTCATAAAAATCCAAAAGGATGGGGTTTGGAGAAATTTTGGGTTGGTGAACATGTGCATATTGGGGAGAGTGGGGCACTTGGAGAGGGCCCAGAAACTCTGCACCCTTTCCCCATGCCTTGCCTTATGCATCTCTTTCATCTGGCTGTTCCTGCGTTATATGCTTTTATAATAAACCAATGATCTAGTGAGTAAAATCTTACTCTGAGTTCTTTGAGCTGCTGTAGCAAATTAATCAAACCTGAGGAGAGGGTCGTGGGAAACTCTGACTCATAGCTATTGATCTTGAACTTGCAAACAGCTTCTGAAGTAAAGGACTAAAGGGATTGAGCCATTAATCTGTAAAATTAGACACAATCTTCAGGTATATCGTGACAGAATTGATTTGAATTTTAGAGCACCAAGATGGTGTAAGAGAATTGCTCGTGTGGGAGAAACTACCATACTTGGGTGACCAGAACACCAATAGTATTCAGAGTACTGTATGCAGTTTAAAGAAAAATAGGGCTTTTACCTTACAACACTATTTTACAAATAAGGCAATCAAAGAAAAAACAGAAATGTTTTGTCCCAGTTGTCAGAGCTCAGCAGTAATAGAGTGGGGTTAGAATTTAGTCTCAGACCTTCTAGGTTCTTCAATCAGAATATTATACTCCTGAATGTAACAAATAATGAAAATAAACTAAAGGTGAAAGGAGGAAATCATCTTACCTGATTCCAAAGAACTACTGTCTTCATCTGAGGAGTGAACACCAGCATTTGATGATAACACTGCCACAAAACCTTCCTTAAAATCCTCAAAGTTAACCTGGGTGAATTTGAGAAGTGAGGTCAAAGTTACTTTCAAGAGAAGGCACATATAATCCATTAGCCTTTTGTTTTTCTCTCCTTAGATGGAAACATTTTATTGTTGCCTTTTGCACTGAGAACATTCTTCTTTTTTCCCCAAAATTCACCTAATTTTTTTTTAAAAAGGAGGAGCTCTAAGATGGTAGTGACATAGAAAGACAATGAACTCACCCCCCTCCCAAGAGCACACTGATATACAGAGTACCTATACATAGAGCAATTACTCCTAAGAGACAACTGGTGACTGAATGAACAGCTGCTAAGCAATAGAGGTGAGAAAGAGAAGGCTAGGAAAACATGGGACTCTCCCAGGACCTGCAGGAATTCTCCAGGAGTGCAGGTGCCAGTAAGCACCATTGTTTACATTCTGCTCCATCTCCAGGGAGCGGGTGGGGGCTCTATCCAAGCGTTCTGGCCTACTTGCAATATTGCCACAGTGCATTCCCAGCCACACTACCCAGAGTCCATTTTTGCTCCAAACAAAGGAAGCAAGTAGGATCAATAGGACATTCCTTACATGAATCTCGCATACCTTCCTAGATATACTACAGCTTGGTAGGCCAGTGCCTCAAATGCCATAGTCACCTGCTTGGCTCCAAATGGCCTCTAAAAACCACACACCACACACAGCCTATGAGGCTGCTTCTATACAAGGCCATTTTGTTAAGACTGGGAGACAGAGATATTTTGTCTAATTCATATAAACAAAGAGAGAAAGGTGAACAAGATGATAAGTAGAATACCTCTTACATGAAGGAAAAAGAAAAATTACCAAGAAAAAACCTAAATGAAACAAAAATAAGTAATTGACCTGATAAAAAAAATTAAAAGAAACATTCATAAGGATACTCACTAAACTTGAAAATGGAATAGAGGAACTCAGAACTTCAACAAAGAGTTAGAAAGTATAATAAATAATCAAGCAGTGCTAAAGAATATAATGATACACTAAAAAGGAATTAATATCAGTTTAGCTAACACAGAAGAAAAGATCAGCAACCTTGAAGACAGACTAGTGGAAAACAACCAATTAAAACAGCAAAAAGAAAAAAAATTAATTGATGATTTAAGGGGCCTCTAGGACAACACCAAGCACACTAACATTCCCATTACATATGTCTCAGAAGAAGAACAAAATCAGAAACAAAAAAAAATTATTGGAAGAAACAATGGCTGAAAACTCTGTTAACCTGTGAAAAAAACAGGCATATAGGTCCCGGAAGCACAGAGAGTTCCAACCAAGATGAAACCAAAGAGATCAAGAAATATTGTAATTAAAATAGAAAAAGTTAAAGCTAAACAGACAATCTTGAAGGCAGCAAAAGGAAAACAACTAGGAAATTCTATATACAAAGGAAATTCTATAAGGATATCAACTGATTTCTCAGCAGCAACTTTACAGGCCAGAAGGGAGGAGCAGAACATCATTAAAGTGCTGAAAGGAAGGAACCTACAGCATAGAATAATTTACTCAGAAGGTTATCAATCAGAATTGAAGGACAGAAAAGAGTTTACTGGACAAGCAAAAAATGACTTTTACCTTTAAACCAGCTTTACAAGAAATGCTAAAAGGCCTTCCATAAAGAGTAAAGGAAAGCCCATAACCAGAAATAAGAAAATATGATAGAAGAAATCTCAACAGACAAAGGCAAATATTTATATTTGATACAGTGAAATTAAAAAACAAAGTGTGTAGGGGGGAGTAAAAATGTAGTCCCCTTAAAATAGAGTCAGACTTAAATGACTCTCAGCTTGAAATAGACTGCTATAGATATAAAAACTCATGGTAACAAAAAACCAGAAACCTATAAAGGACATACACAATGAGTAGAGAAAGGGACCCAAACAAACACTAAAGAAAACAAGCAGATCACAAAGAAAGAGATCAAGAGAAAGAAACAAAGGAGAACTACAACAACCAAAAGAAAAAAGAACAGCCCTGGCTGGTGCGGCTCAGTGGATTGAGTGCTAGCTGTGAACCACAGGGTCGCCAGTTCAATTCCCAGTCAGGGCACATGCCTGGATTGCAAATGAGGTACTCAGTAGGGGGTGTGCAAGAGGCAACCACACATTGATGTTTCTTTCCCTCTCTTTTTCCCTCCCTCCCATCTAAAAATAAAATAAATATTTTTTTAAAAAGAACAAAATGACAATTAAGTCTATACTTTCCAATAGTTATTTTAAATAAAAGTAGATTAAATGCTCCAATGAAAAGACATAGATAGGACAGCCGAATGGATTAAAATACATGATCCATCTACATGGTGCTTAAGAAACTCACGTCAAATTGAAAGATACATGCAGGCTGAAAGTGCAGGGATACAAAAGGTTATTCCATGCAAATAGAAATGAAAAGAAAGCTGAGATAGCAATACTTATATCAGACAAAATATACTAAAAAAAAGAATGTAAAAAAAACAACGGACATAATGAGAAAGGGGTAGACAAAAGAACAGGATATAATAATTGTAAATAAGTCTGCACCAAACATAAGAGCGTCTAAATATACAAAACAAATAATAATGAACATAAAGGGGGAACTTCACAGTAATTCAGTAATAGTAGGGAATTTAAATGTCCCAATCACATGAATGGATAGATCATCCAGACAGAAAATTAACAAGGAAATAATGGTCTTAAATGTCACAGTAGACTAGATTAACTTAATAGGCTACTGTAAAACATCTTATGCCAAAACTGCAAGATACAAACTTTTTCATATGCACATGAAACATTAAAAAGCCTCAATGAACTTGACAAAATGGATAGCATATGAAGCATTTTTTTCTGACCACAATGGCATGACACTAGAAAACAACTATAGTAGAAAACTGGAAAACACACAAATACATGGACACTAAACAACATGCTGCTAAAGAACAAATCGATTGGAAGATGGCGGAGGAGTGAAAGGGAGTCACGCTGACCTCCTGCCAAAACCAAACTGGAATTGCAACTAAATAATGGAGTAATCACCTGGAAAGCAGTGGAGCGATAGTGGGAGAGGAGCCTTGGTGCCGCGGACAGTGGATTCTACTCTCACACATCCCAACGGGTGAGAATTGCGGTGGAGGCTCGAGAGGGTGGGCTGGGTGCGCACAGGGACTGGCACCGGAGGGACATTGAAACGGCCAGTTAGCATCTCCCCGAGAAGAATGGGGTCTGAATCATAAACAGGAACCCCTAAACTACAGCAGCTAAAGACGAGAAAACACAGACAAAACGCAACCCCAAAAAGCTTAGGGGTGCTCTCTGCCAGAGACAGGTGGTTAGGGATGCAAAAAGATATTTAAAGGGCAAACGCAAAAGTTGCAGGGGCAGCCACCCTCCTTGATTGCTGGGTAGAGGCGGCAGCAGGGTGGGCTGGTGCCTGGGAAAAGAATGGTGAGGAAAACTTTGTGAAGAGAACTGACACAGCGGCCGGTGGAGCCCGGATGATAACGCACTTCCCACTCTGCAGCTACCATCTCGCTCAGGCATAAGGGAATCAATTAACCTGCCTTTTGTGCGCTCCGCACAAAGCTTGTACGCATGTGAGCTAGGGGGCTGAGTGCAGACTGGCTGGGAGAGCCTTGAGGAGAGTCTGGAGAGAGAGGCATTGGGGAAAGAACGAGAGGAGGAACCCGGGAGTCCTGACTCCCTCTCCGTTTGGTAGTCTCCATTGTGGGCTGGAAAGGCGCGACCCCAAAGAGGCAGAAGTGGGATGCGCATGAACGAGACTGCCTGCGATTGAAACGCAGTCTGCACAGGGGTTGGATCCCAGGCCGAAGGGGTCACAGAACTGCCCAGAGGCCCCTGAGGGGAGACTAGAAACGGAGGCATTAGGGAAAGAACGGGAGGAGGAACCGGGTTTCTCCTTGCCCTAGTCTCCATTGCGCAGGAAGAGGCCACACCCCCAAAGAGCCAAAAGCTGAAAAGCAAACATAGACACCCCCAAAACAACCAGAGCAGGCGCGCACACTTGCGCCGAGTGACTGGGGAGGGTTGGCGAGCGTGTGTGTGACCCACGCGGGCTGGTGAATGCTTGCACCTGCCGGCAAGGCCTCACACAGACTGGCACCCATACGGCCTGTGAGGGAGTGCACAGAGGGGCAAGGGCAGGCGTAAATTGACCTACCCGACGCGATTGCGGAGCGGCCCACAAAATAAGTAGAGCTGCCCGGAGTCCCTGGAGGAGAGACCAGAAACAGGATTAACCAGAGAGTCCTAGAGCTGATTTCCTCCCATTTCCGTAGTCCCCATTTGGCGAGGGCAAGCAACGCACCCAAAGAGCCAAAAGCGGGGAAAATACACAATAGAAGACCCTAAACTGACCAGTGCCGTGAAGCGCATGTGCCAGGGAGGCCAGATGAATACGCGAGGTCGCGAATAAGCCCCCTGGTCTGGGGCAAGCACATGCGAGCCCAGGCAGGTGGGGGACCCTGCCCCGCTGGGAACGCGCTCAAGGAGCCCGCATGAGAGCGCAGAGAGATCCCAAAAAATAGCTCAGCCCTGACCGAAGGGGTCACAGAGCTGCTCTAAGCAGGAGTCAGACACAGGCATTAGACTCCTGAAAGACTCAAACTATCAACCCAAGGCCCTATAGGGTCAACAACTGACATCATCAGAGGCAAGCCCAGAAAGAAAAGTAAAGGACAAAAATACTTAACAGACTCTCACAAAAATGGGAAGAAAAAGAAGTTCCCCTCAAATGAGTGGAAAAGGGGACTCCCCACAGAGAGAGCTAACTGAAATAGAGGCCAGGGAACTATCAGATATGGAATTCAAAACAATGGTTCTAAGGAAGCTCAATGAGCTCAGCCAGCTCAAAGAGAACTATGAGAAACTGCAGAGAAACTATCAGGATCTTACAGCAAACTATATCAGCCTGGAAAAGGACATAGAAACTATCAAGAAGACACAAGAGGATAAGAAGAATACCATTTCTGAATTGAAGAACACAGTAGAAGGAATCCAAAG